GTTTCTCTCAGGTGTTATTGTTTATTTTATGAGCCTGTCTATTGTTTGGCTGAAAGATGTTCTCCAGGAACAGCTTCAATTCCAGGTCAGAAGAGTGTTTTGGGGCCATAGTCTGTGGGGTTCCTCCAGTCTCTGCCAGATCAGTAAGTCTGGTCTTTCTGTGAATTAGATTTTTTGGTCTACATTATTCTCCTGCTCTGTTCAGGACTCTTTGTTGTGATCACAATCAGTGGTCGATAGTGGTAACCGGGCACTATCTAGTTCTTCTGGTCTTGGGGTCGTGCAGGCTGTGGTTCATGTGGTCCATTAGTCCTCTGGACTAATTGTTCCCTTAAGTCTTTGGTTTTCTTCACTCGCCTTTGCTCCAGACAGGAAGAGAGTATGATTCTATTTATATGAAATGCCTGAACAGGCAAATCCATAGAGACAGGAAGGAGACAAGTGGTTTCCAGGAGTTTGGGCAGGGAGTAGTTCTCTATCAGAAGACAGAGAACCAAATATCCCCTTTATTAGTGATTATGGAGAACAAGGCTCAGGGTAAGAGCCAGTGGACATGGTAACTGGGCTCCTGGAATAGGCAGACCTGCCAGGGACAATCCAGATGATCCAGAACTTTCCACAAGTGGAGTTATTACTGCAACTGACAAAATGCCAATGTTGTCCAATTCTTCTTCATTGTCGGAGTACATTTTTATGATTTGTGTATTTTTTCATGTAAGTATGTATTAAAACAAATATGTAAGTTTATACGTAATGTTTCCAACCCTCAAAGACAAATAAAGATTGGATTTATAAAGAAAAATACCAAAAACCAAACCATCTGCCGTCGAGTTGATTTCAACTCATAGTGACCATGTAGGAGAGAGCAGAACTGCCTCAGAGGTTTTCCAAGGCTGTAAATCTTTACGAAAGCAGACTGCCACATCATTCTCCCGTGGAGCGGCTGGTGGGTTTGAACCATCAATCTTTTGGTTATCAACCAAGCGCTTAACCACTGCGCCACCAGAGCTACTGATAATGAAAGGCAATAATAATGAAAACAAACAAAAAGAGAAGTATTTGACTTAAGTCAGAACTGACTATGGAGTCGTCGAAACAGAACACTGTTGCAAGTCGGGGACTACCTGTATGTATCTCCTACAAGTGGTTAAGAGCTACCGATGCTAACCAAAAGGTCAGCAGTTCAAATCCACCAGCTGCTCCTTAGAAACCTTTTGGGGCAGTTCTACTCTGTCCTATGAGGTCTCTATGAGTCAGAATCGACTCATGGCAACAGGTTTTTTCTTTTCTTTTTTTAGTTTTGCCAAGATCTCTAGAAAAAGATATCCTAGTTGGTAAAGTAGAGGGTCCAGGAAAACCCTCAATGAGCTGGACTGACATAATAGCCACAACAATGGACTCAAACATACCAAGGATTATGAAGACGGCAGAGCACCAAGAAACACTTGGTGCTATGAGTTGGAGCTGACTCGACAGCAACTAACAACAAACAACTAGCTTTGCTTCTCTGAACTCTGATCTTGCCTCCGTGAGCAGTCAACTACCCAGCTTTGTCTGTGAACAGGTTGCATTGTTGATACCTGGGGAGCCACCTTTCGGCAGGGCCAATCCAAGCAGCATTCACCTGAGGCAGGGCTCTCTTTCTCAGGCTGGACAAAGAACACCACTGAATGATAAAAACGTGTGTAGGGAAGGGAAAAAAAATGGGTAAAAGCCCCAATCCTTTCATATGGGGTGGAGGGGTCTGCAAAATGGGGACTGTATCCACCAACTCACTACACTAAGAAATTGCCACGTGCCCCTCTCTGGGAACTCAGTCTTTAATTCACCATTTCTTCTATGATATTCAGACTACCTGCTTCAGGATCAGCATGGACCTGTATTAAAACACACATTCCTCGGGCTCCACCCCACATCCACTGAATCCGAGATCTGGGCCATTACATTTTCACTATGAGTCCAAGTAATTCTGATACACAACAAAGTTGGACAATCACTGCAGTCTAATTCTTCAGACTACCCAACATATTTGAAGCAAGTATTGCAAATTTCAAGGTAATAAAACCGATATATTCTGAGTCAGGGGCAAATAAAACTCACTGTAGCTTCTCAAAAATGAAGAGGAGAAAAGAAGCAGAAAGAACATTTCTGCAGGGAAATGTCCCCATTGCGCACAATGTACGAGAAGAATAACAAGTGGCCCAGTGAAAGCCCCGCTGTCATATTTACTCATACCCAACAGTTCCAGACACTGCTAGCCCCTGACATTCACAGGCGTCTCAAAAGGATGTCTTTGTGTTTCTTTACAGAACTAGTTCATCGATGCAGCCTCTCTGTAGATTGGATAATAAGATCCTGCAGAAAAATGTCGCTGTTGTCATAGTTTTTCCCTTGAAATTTGTTTTTCTCAGTATGCCAACTTCCTACCTAGACAGACAAATTATTCCCTGGTCAAAAATCCCAATTCCATCCACCTTCTTTCCATTACTTAGCAAGAACAACAGAAGGCCCAAGGGGAGTGGACACTAACTGCCCTCAGCATCCAGGCCCCTAGAGAGCAAGAAGCTCCACCGTCTGTCTCCCTGGCTGGTCTCTGCTCCTCTCTTCTTCTTTGTCTATCTCAGTCTGTCTGCAAATGGGAGGAGGTCCTACTCTGGATGTATTACTACAAAATAACACTGCTACTCAGATCCATTACTTAATCATTGCAAAGGCTGATTCTGCATGTAGACCTGATCCCTTTGGTCCTCTATGTGTCCATCTGCTGGATCTTCACATCTTCAGTCTGAACAAAATAAGTAGGGGACGGTATAGGATACACTGGTTGCTAGGTTACAGAGCAATACCTCTAGACAGAAGACTGCAGGTCTGACATTTGAGAAGGCATGTTATAAATACCCTACAATGCCCCTCCTCAAAGCCAGAAACAAAAGACTGAACGCTGGGGTGAGGAAGAAGGTCAAGGAAGAAAAGGTGGCAAACTCTTAATGCATATTTCCCAGAACAGAGGTTTTGGCCTTCCTCAGTTACCACTCTCCTTTATAGCTTTAGCCATTTTTCCTCTGCCCATTAATTGAAGGATTTGTAGTTTGACTTCTCGTCCATTCTCTTTTTCATGCCCTTACCTGGATTCTAGGAATTCCTGAGTGGTGCAAAAGGTTAGTGCACTCGGCTGCTAACCAAAACATTGGATGTTCAAGTCCACCCAGAGTGCCCCAGAAGAAAGGCCTGGAGATCTACTTCTGAAAAGTCACCCACTGAAAATCTTATGGAGCACAGTTCTACTCTGACACATATGGGGTCACCATGAGTTGGAGATGACTCAATGGCAACTGGTTTAAGTTTTATTGGTTTTAACTGGATTCTATTTTCAGTTGTTTTTTCTTTAATTATTTGACTTTTCCCAGGACCCAGTTATCCTTTACCCAATTTTCAAAACCAAAAGAAAAAAAACAAGGCAAGTATTAAGAGACATCTGGTAGCTACCTATTTGTGATCTGCAAATACAGATCTCGAAGGTCAAGAGCCTGTTCCACAATGAATGGTTTGCCCTCTATGTGTTATAA